AGAAGATGGGGATCAAAGCCATCGTAATGAGTGATCCGTACGCGCAGAGCATCCCTTCCGGCGTTGACTTCACTTTATCGGTGCTATTGTTGGCAATCGTTTCATCGATTGTGGCGTTTAGTTGACTTAACACCTGATCCACCGTTTCTGAAGCCATGGCTTTGTGTTGTCGAGTGAGTGGTCCTTCAAATCAAATCTTATGTTAAATAAGATTCAGTTATCACTCATTGAGTCCGACGTGTACTTCACGAACCTATCCATAGAAGACGTCTTTTATTAAGTTTTGTCACAATTCATGGCATTTGACACTCATTTCACTGTAGATTTCGTTGACTCCGGTGTAGCCAATTGAAAGATATCACCAAACACTGATCCCAAGACATACATTACAGGTGTTAAGTGGTCAGAGGGGTGAGTGAATGGCAGTGACGGCACCCCAACACCAACCCCTCCACCCCATGACATATGGACGACATGTATGGATGGGTTGTAAGCTTTAGTCGACAGGAGTGGAGACAAGACTTGTGTTTATCTATAATGACGTGTAAAGTGTGGTCTCAAAGACATCTGCATTGAGACATAGAGTGGGGCCAAGAGATCACAACAGATATCATTACCACTAATTTGATCCTTGAGTCCACTTCTGTCACTGCATTCACATTCAGCCAATTGTTGTGTTCACTGAAGAGTTGTGTTATAAAAGACATTCCAAGACATGCTTTACTCAAACTCTTCTGACCTGTTGTCCAAATGTTTAGTCGTTTTGATAGTCTTTTTGTCCATTTTATGCAACACTGAGCTCTTCGGACAGCAATTATCCTATGATTTGCCGCACAAACGCTTTGAATACAAGTACTCATTCAAAGGGCCGTATTTGGCGCAGAAGGACGGAACCGTTCCCTTCTGGACATATGACGGCAATGCCATCGCTTCCGAAGAGATGGTGAGAATCACACCATCGCTCAGATCGAAGAAGGGATCCGTTTGGACGAAGACGCCGACAACCTTCGAGTGGTGGGAAGTGGAGCTCGTCTTCAGAGTGAACGGAAGGGGAAGACTGGGCGCCGACGGACTCGCCTTCTGGTTCACAGACCAGCGATCGGTTGAGGGGCCGGTGTTTGGGGCGGCAGACAATTGGAAGGGTTTGGCCCTCTTTTTCGACTCCTTCGACAACGACAACAAAGGCAACAATCCATACATTATGGCTATGATTAACGACGGCTCCAAGAGTTACGACCACCAGAGCGATGGCATTAACCAACAACTCGCCGGTTGTTTGAGAGACTTCCGGAATAAGCCGTTTCCGGTGCGCGCGAAGATCGAGTACTACCGGAATGTGTTGTCCGTTATGTTTCACTCGGGAAACACTAATAACGAGGACGAGTACGAGCTGTGCCTGAGAACCGAAAACGTATTTCTGCCGCAATTCGGACACTTCGGAGTGTCGGCCGCGACGGGAGGGTTGGCCGACGATCACGACGTACTCAAGTTGCTGACGTACAGCCTTCATGTGCCCGGATCTGAGCCGCAGACACAGCCCGGAATCGCCGACTCCGAGAAGGAGAGGTTTGCGCGCGAATACGAACAATACAAACACAAGTTAGACAAACAGAAGGAGGACTACTTGAAAGCGCATCCAGAAGAAGCCAAACGTCTGCAACACGAGGGCAACGCTCCCGAAGACGAGTACGACTTCGGCACTCGAGAGTTGCAGCAGATATTCGAGGGTCAGAGCCAAGTGTTCGAAGCCGTCAAACACCTCAACAGAAAACTCGATGAAATCGTCGGACGACAGGAGAGAGTGCTGTCGATGTTGAGTGCTGTCCAGTCGGGCGCCGCTCCCGTCCAAGCGGGTCAACAGCCACAGTACGCCGCCGGAGGGGCGCCTCAACTACCACTCAATCGACACGAAGTGGAGGCTCTGCTCGGAAACCAACGAGAAGTGGTTCAGACGTCTCGCGAATTGAAGACTCTATTACTTCAATCACAACAACAACAGCAACACAACACGGGATCGGGTGATGGCGTCCAAAGCGCACAACAGAATCAAGTTATCCAACAGACATTAAACGAGATGCGCGACGGACTCACTGGTCTGAACCGGGACTTGGCATCATTGGGCAATAGGATCGACACGAGGGCATCGGCATCAGTGGGCTGTCCTCCAGTGCCCACGTGTTTAACGACATTAAACTTTTCGATTATACTGTTCATACATTTAGGTATTATTATGGGTTATTTGGTGTATAAAGCGAGCAAAGAGTCCGCCGCTAAGAAGTTCTACTAAACAATAAATGTCTCTCTATTTTATCAAACGTTATCATTATTTCGATTAAATTATTTTAATTCAAATATTTCAAAACAATTTTTACAAATATCATCGATTCAATGGTCAATATTCAATGAATTAAGTGTTGAGCGGTCAGTCAGTTTGCATGAATCAAATGAAAATGAATAATAACTTAAAGTAATATTAATTTATTGGTCGAAATGACATGTTATACAAAACATGATCGAAACGATCGATTGATTCAATTGTTGCACAAATGATACTCAATATTAGATAACTAATGAAAATGTTTCGCATTTATAATCGATTTTAAATCACTTGATTCGGTCATTAGTTCACTAAAAGATTGATTTGTTTGAGTTTTTAATAATAATAATAATAATTAACTATAAAACAAAGGGAAAGCCGTCGACTCTTGAAATAATTTAGTGAAAATCATTGCAATAGAGGTTTCAGAGTATCGACGGCTTCACAGTTCAAATCACTTATTGTCACCAAAAAGTCACTCAAAGAATCACTTGAATTATGAATTCAATTATTTATATAATTTATAAGTTGTGAAGACTTCATAAGTTTTCCACAAATTTGGTCAACTGGTCCTGAGGTGTCAACTCTTGCTGTTGATTCTGCTGTGGGTTCTGTTGACCCCCGAAGTCGTTCTGTTGTTGAAAGAGCAACATATCTGTCGGGTCCTGAGCTTGTTGTTGGACTCCAGAACTCATGTATTGGCGCGGGTTTTGAAGTCTTTGTTGTGGCGGAGACCTCATCATCGGTGCTCCCCTTTGAGGGTTCCCTTGATTAGGGTTTTGCGACCAATACCTGGGCGTTACAGTCGAATACATTTGCTGTTGCGGCTGATTAGCCATTAGCCT